AAAGTCCAAATTGATATTGTTTGAATAGTTTGAAGTTTGATCAATCATACTATATACATTACTACGACATTAATACCTGTGGGTGGTCAAAAGTTATAGTCTCTTTGATGCTACACAATTTTATACGTGTTTTGTATAACTAAATTATGGAATAATTACGGAGTGCTCCATTTTCCCACAACCTTCAAAACTCAGTAGTGTAGGCATAATAATTATTGTATGCACACGCATATTATACAGTGCATTCTAGTATAAATTATTATTGAGAATAAGTAAAAACAATATTTTATTTACACTAAAAGACCGAAAACCTAATTGAAATATTGTGATCGAGAAAGTCGAATAAAAAAAAAAAATGAGCAGTGAAAATACGAATTCAGAACGTTTGGATCACTCGTGTTAGGCTATCGAAGAATCTAAAATCTGAATATAAAACAGGATTCTCGCATTTTTAATTTAAATACTAATGTTTTCTTTATATTTGATCACGAGGTACTTAACAAAATATATATGGTACATTAGATATATTAGAAGCATTATTAATAATCTTATTACAATACAACTACTATACTAAGTAAATAACTAATAAATCAATGAACATAAAGATTTCTTAAATTAGGTTAAAAATAGGCTTTTTGATTTGATTTTTTGTATTAACAACTAATAGCTAACACAAGAAACACCTCATACCTACTCATTGAATTTATTTAAACTCAAACCCGCAATGCAGTGTAAAGTACGCTTTAGGACTGTGGTTTTAGTACTGAAGTTGTAGGTAATAATAGTATAATTATGTTAAAACCTGCTAAACAGAACACTCCTATGAAAATCATATAGGTCAGTAATTCTAAATCAGACATCAGCGGTACACCCACTGAACTCTATACATGGAAGGCACATTGTTTATAATTCATGTATTGAAAAGTGTACCCATATCGAGAGCCGCCATTTTGATTCCGTAAGGCCCTCCGCACACGAAGCTACTAAAAAGAAACTAAACTAGTAAGTGATTTGAATCACTATAAAATCACAAACTGATTACAGACGCGGCTCCGCACACGAAGCTACTCATTAGTGACCAAAATCATAAATTTGCACAACGAAATGAGCGCGTAGGTACTATAAAATAGGAAACTAGAAACTCAAATAGCTAGGATACTGGGAAGTCGCGTCGCTATCAACTAGTTTACAACTCGTCGTAGACAAGTTACTAACAGGTAGCGTCGTGTGCGGAACTCCACTTGATTAAATTGCCAGCAACGCAAAACAAACTTATCAGTAACTAGAATTACTAATCGGTTTTATTTAGGTATCTCCGTGTGCGGAGGGCCTTAGAGTTCCTATCGATGATTTGTCATTGATAGAATTATTTTATCAGCTTATCTTCTACGAAATATCAGTGATATACCGGTGGATCGCATATTTCGCAGATAATTTGTATCGTTTATTCTATGAAAGTTTTTTATCCCAATGCGCGTTCCATTGTATATAGTTCAGTGGGTACACCGTACACAAAAAGCTCATAGGTGGTACGTAATACAAAAAGAAAACAACCAAGAAAAAAATTTTGAATTATTATTGATCCAAAAAACTCTAGTAATGTCAAAATCAAAAGAAAAAAGTACGGAACATCGAGTTTCATTGTAATGGTAATAATTTCAAAGGGATTTCCATTTAGTTCAAATTATAAAAAATCCGAGATATCGACGATCGACATAATATTATAATAAGAATAATACTGTATTACCTTTTACACAGTTATTTAGTTAGTTGTAGTTTAACTTACTTATAACTGGATTTAAAGAGCTTTTCTTTGAAGTGGTATTTTAAAATATTTTTCAAAACTTAGCAAGATGTGTACTGAGATATAAAAAAGTTGAAAACCGCTGAAATAAGTACCTATTGACTGATGATATACCTGGATGATTATACGACTAATCTGTACAACCTCTATAATAGTCTATAATGAGGTCTATACAATGTCATATAATATAAATACACAATAAAATCTATAAATTCTTGCAATAACTTATTAATTATCACTTATCACTAATCAGTAACTAGAAATTAGAATTTTATAGATTTAAGAATATTACGTAAATGAAATATATCCATCCCATTTTTCAAAGCTCAAAGTTTACACAACAGATTACTAAATCAATATAAATTATCAATTACCAATGTAATGGTGTAATTAATTGAAAGTATAATTTCATTATTCAGTAACTAATGGAAAATATACTAGGACAGCTTGTTTCTAAGACACAATTTATTTTCAAATAAAGATGCAAAAAATATTTTGTTTGGTACTAAAAGTCATTAATTATCTTTATTCTAAAAATATTAACATGTTCTTACTGACTTACTATAATCTATAAACATTTAAACAAATATGTATCAATCTTTTAAGAAAAAAAAATATTGTACTAGGTCAATAAATTGTCTATATATTTTTAAACTACCTTATTGAATAAATAAGATGAACTTCTTAAATCTTCAATCAGCATAAATGTCAAAGGTCAAATAAATTATATGTTCATAATTAATATACCTACGAGAAAAATTAAAAAGAATACTGCATAATCTAAATACAGTTAATTTATTTACTACCTACATCTCAGATAACCTTTTAACTCATTAGGATAATTGCTCTAACAACTAAGCGCATCTTCAACACTATTTATTAATATTTAATATTACATTAATAAGTTGACCCAGCTAAAAAACTAAAACTACATATTATTACTTATTATGAATAGGATATGAATGAATTGACCTAGTGTTCTGATTCACCACATACATCATATTATTATGTATACTGTATAGTTTGACAATGAATAGATTTATGTATATGTATACAATCAACACAGGCAATAAAATATAGTATGATATATCCTTAGTAGAGAAAAAATATTAGAGGTTAGCACCGTGAAGATTGGACTGACCGTTGTAGTGGCCTCGATTTTCACGCATGAAAAAACCTTAGGAGATCGGTCACGGTTCAGTTGGCACACTATATTCGATCAGTTAAACTAGACTACATAGTAGGTACACAGAAACACTAATATAGGATCTTAAACAGAAAATTAAATAAAATAAAAATAATTATATTTCAGTTTGGAATCAAACTATTAAATAATCCAAATTTGAATATCCACCAAAATGTTTAATAACCTAATTTTTGCAGGTTAATGATTAAAATAGTTAATTTTCTATACAATAATTCACATTTAATGTTTTACTAATGTCTATCCTAGAATTTATTTTCTAAAAAGTATGTAGGTAATTAAAATATCAATAAAAAATATTCTTTAGGTAAAATACTTTTTAACATTAAAAAATATCTACCTAGTTTATCTACCTAATTGAAAACAAAAACCGATTGCTAATTAGTAGTACATAATATTATCTAACTAATATCACTTAACTCGTCTAAAAAAAATAATAATAGAAATTGCATAGATAGGACTCATTAAAAAAATAAATAATAATATATTATGTAGGTACCTATCCTTACTTTCAATTAAAGTAAAGGACATAACATCAATTACATAAATTACCAATAAATTAAATACTAATAGTGTTGTTAACATGAATTAAATTATCATTGTTGAATGATTAGTAAAGAAATATTGGTTATAAATGTTGTAATAATTTAAAACGGTCAACTTTAAAAGAGACTTTAGGTCTATTTGATTCTGGAAAAGTTGCCAACATTTAAAAACTAAATATAGGTGGTGTGTAGGATTAGAACTTTTGTGAGCCAAGTCTACAATAACAAATGACAAGTACCTACCAATAAAAATTATTTTGAAAATACTTCAACTTACAAGAACATTGTTATACTATTATAGAGTAGGTAGAGCTTAGGTAGACCTATTTTAGTTCATAATATCAAATCAATATGTAAGTAAATTTAATATTTCATAAATAAATTACAATTTATAATAGGCAGTTAATATCTACTAACTTCAATAGATATATTAAATAGGTACCTAACTCATTCGTGAAATTAAACAAATATAGATACCAGATCAAATAGTATTAGGTAAGTTATAACTTGTTATAGAAATTTAAAATTAGCAAACATACAGGTAAAATCAAATATCTAGGTAATACAACTTTGTTTTCAATATCTAGTTAAATAAAATAACTTGTCACATCAAGGTTAGTTGTGGGGGGTTTCCCTCACACTTCTTTTGTAACATAAAGATTATTTTATATTTGTATCACAAATTTGATACAAATATAAAATAAAGGTAATACCTAAAATACAATTAATTTGATTACATTTATTACCATAATTTATTTTAAGTAATTTGCATGATAAATTATAAACAATATTGAATTATAAAAAAAAATCTGGAAGCAGGCATATTAATCCAAAATAACAAACTGTCATAGGTATCATGAGATAACATTTGAAAATTGAGGGGCTCTATTACAAGCTTCTTAATTTCGCTTGTTAAGTAAACAAAAAAAAATTTTTAGTGTACTGAACCTAATGCTCTGTTGTACCTATGAATGTGCATATTTTTTTTTAATACTTAATAATTAATAACTCAACAAGTAGGTGCACCTACTAGCGAAATGTATTAATACAACTGAAATTACATATAATATAGAGGTCATATATGTAACTTGAGCTATTGAAACTCTTAAGCTACAGAAACCAGATATTGTTATCACTGTGCAAACTTTAGTAGGTATTTAAATAAAATCACAAGTTTGTTTTGATAATGGGAAAATATCCGAGCACTGGAGTATGTAGTTATCACTTATCTACCTACCTTCCGCACGTTTGAAACTGGGAACTATTTTTTTTTTTTAAATACGATTTACGAGACCAATAATTACTATAACCGATAATACGCATTTCGCGACAACAGCGAATCATCTTAGAGCGATCAAGTAAACAACTCATTGATCTAACAGTTACCACTACTTATAATTTATAGCACTCAATTGGTCGTCGGATCTCGAAAATCTCAAACATTTACCTTTTTCTGTTGTTTTTCCCACGCTGGGTCCAACAGCCCTTCCCGTTCCCATTCCTCTTCCGGTTCCATGTACCCGTTACTGTAGTCGATGTCGTTCGAATGGCTGTTCATGGTGATCATTTGGGAACAGCACTGCGGATGTTTTATACCTTCGCGACGGTCGTCGACGAATGAGTTAGGAGTTTGATTTTCAAAGTGTTATCTCGACGGTACTATAACTGCCGGGCGGTGCACCATAAAAAAATGTACCGAATTATTTAAAAATGAAAAAAAAAATTTATGATTCTTTTCGACGGTAGACCGGTATTTAAAAGTTAAAACACTGGCTATATATATATATATTTATACTTTTGGGTGCGTATATTATTACTTTTATATATACATATACATGTATGATATATAAAAAAATATATAAGTTAAAACGATCAAAAAAACCGCACTAACGACCGCCGGTTACGCGTATATACATCGAAGCGGACCGTGTTGTTTTGTTGACGCGCCGCAGATGCGTTCTCGTTCGTCCCCTGCGCCCGTCCCGCGATCATCCTGTAACCGACTCCCACTCCGTGACAGCTGGACGTGCGCCACGGTTTCGCTCCCACCGACGACGACGAAAAAACCAACGACCGCAGTGTGACCACGCGCCGGGTGACGGGTTTCTTTCTTACGTACAATCGTAATTCGTAAGTGCCTCCACCCGCCGTAGGTCATAGGCTACGACGACACTACCTACCTAGTACCTAAAATAATAATATTACGTAAAAGTAAATTATTACTGAATAAGCATTATACTATTATAGAACTATAAATTATAATAGTAAAAAATCTATAGTAATTAGTTATTTTACCAATGTCTGTATAAGTGGAAATCGGGTAGGTAGTAGGTACCTACTACCTATACGGCTATTACCTACAATATTAAAGAGGAATGAGGAATAACATTTAAAATACCCAATTTACAGTTAAGGCGGTAGGTATTCCACTAACACCGAGTTCCGTGTTGGCCGTGTAGACCATGTGATATCCAATGATATGATTGGATAGTTAATTCATAACCGTAATTTGGATACCATGATATTCTGCGTTACCACTTGTTACCATAAAGTTGAATTATTTCAACTTTTCACCGTGAAGTTATTGTTGGTATAATATCTAATATAATTTTTCGTTTATTTATTTATAATTTGTATGATCTTATCTTGTTAATAATTAATAGTACAATTTATTATTATAGTAAAGTTGTAACTTGTAAAAGTTGTTGTATTATAATTTAATATTAATCATGGTTGTCGTAGTAAGTAGTTACCTATTGAAAAGTATTTTTATAATTTATTTAAAAAAATCATAATACTTAAGTTTTTATAATATTTATTTGGGAACAAGTGCACTTTACCACCCCATGCCAATTTTTCGATTCTTTTTTTGGAACTTATGTAGCTTATCGAGTTAAGAACGATGGTGCAATCAGAATTTGTCGCTCTCACTTAGTTTCGAAGTTATGGCCTTCCAAAGTTTTCAATTTTACGTCTATACGCATGCGCGCAATACTACTCTATAATGCCGCGCGGAGGACTATTTTTGTTATTTTTTTGTACTTACGTATTCTAACCTGTTTAAAACGATAGTGCAATAATAATTTATCCCCCGATTTGCTATGCAACACATCCCAAAGTAGGTCACAGGGTTAAGAAAATTGCATTTTTGTTGCACAAAATCACCGAGCGGGGCCACTCGCTCGGACAATTAAAAACGAAAATATCCCCCGATTTGCTATGCAACACCTCCCCAAGTGGGTCACAGGGTTAAGGAAATTGCATTTTTTAAAATGAAAATTGCATTTTCACAATTAAAAATATTCCTCTCCTGGAAGTAGAAATACTCCTGAAATAGTCAATCTGGTTTAAATAAATCCTAAGTAATCATTCAATTATAAATACGATTTTAGATTATATTATATTATTAAAGAAACTATACTTTAATACACAATTAAAATGTCATTACGTCAAGTGCTGCGTTCTAGTGAAGTTGACCTCTCTTAGTCCCGTGTTTGTTCACTCGTTTATTTTTTATTTAGTAGTCTCACGAATAAGAAAAAAAAATTGCGAAAGACGTGACACGTAGCGTTGCGCTCATGCGTAAAAAAAAACTGAAAATTGCTTACTTCCGAGGGCCATAACTTCGAAACTAAGTGAGAGCGACAAATTCTGATTGCACCATCGTTAACTCGATGAGTTACATAAGTTCCAAAAAAAAAATCGAAAAATATGCATGGGGTGGTAAAGTGCACTTTAGCCTTTATTTGCTTTAAAAAATAAAAATAACATCATTATTTTTAATTTCTTTTAATCCAACATCAAAGGTATAGTTTGATTGAATTATCATATTTTGTAGTGACATAGTAAAATTCTGCACAATATTCAACACGAACACGGTCTACATACGGAACATGGTGTTAGTGGAATACCGCCTTTAGGTACCTAAAAACAATTTTAATTGTAAATGCAATATGTATTATGTATACCTATTGCTTGCTATTACAGCAAGTGTGAGTTTCCTGGATTTTAATTTTAAAATAGTGGTAGGCGTATGCCTATGAGCCTATAATGTCCTATTAACAATAGCTGCACTATAGGTATATACGGGGTGATTCAAAATTTATGTTACAATAATAAGTATAGTAATAGTATACTATTCAATTATTGCGTAACATACATTTTGAATCACCCTGTATAAAAGCACAGATTAAGGGTGGTCAGGGGGCACGTTATCGGGGCTCATCTCTTTCTACAAAATATTTTTTAATACACACATACAAGAAAAGAAAACTCTTTACATTACAAAAATAGATAATTGATTAATTAGTATTAAATTTATATTTCATAACAACAGGTACATTATGATAAAGTTAGCAAATTAGTGAAAATGGAAGTTTTAAACAATGTATGGTAGGTAACTGGTAAGGATACCTACATGGATACGATTTAATTATTGACTTATATTCAATAGATAATAATATCAACTCATTATTCAATGATTATATTATATTACTAGGTATTAGGTGTTATCAGGTGCATACAAAAAGGGGGTTTAGGGTAGAATGACCATATTTTGAAAATAAAAACGGGAAAATTCCCCCCCACCCCTCGAAACATGTAAAAACACACAAATCTACTGCTCTAAAAACGGGACAATCCCGTTTTAAACGGGACATATAGTCACCTTAGTTTAAGGGTTCATCCCCCACCAAAATGTCATGAAAATTATTAAATGTTTTTTCCTTGTTTTAAAGAGTAAAAGTGGGAAAATGTGTAACCTAAACGCTCCCACCTCAAAAATAAATATTTTTTTATGTACGCGCCTGAATGTTATGACATATTATTTGGGTGAGGTTACAAATGTTGCAATATTTTATATTAGTGTCCAGCGCTTAAAATATTATTTTTTTTTACTTCTTACAACGACATAGTATATTTGGTTAAACAATTTATAATATTTTCATTTTTGTTGGTCGTATTAGTTTTAGATTATTGAATTTACAATGATGTGTATTTTTTTTATTTTTTTTTTGTGTCCGCCATCAAAGTCTGGGTTAGTAAAACTGCTTCGATTTTCTTCAACAGTATCTTGTTCGATGAGAAAGTGAATCTAGTTGGTGCATTCAGGAGGTGAAATTCCCAATAGTTTTCAAAAGCACCGGGCATAATTGCATAAACAATATAAAAATTAAGGGAAAATGGGAATTTTTAAGCAAAATAGGTTTTTGAAAAAATCAATTTTGGTTTTTGGTTTAACTCTAAAACAAATTACCGTACCTACATGAAATGTTCACTGGTTATTTATATTAGCATTTTATATACACGATAAAAATTTCAAAATATTTTAATTTGTTTTGAACTGTTTACGGGCATTTTAAATTTCCAATTGTATTAGTTTTTTTTATTTCTATGAATTTTCGACAAAATAAAATATCTACAAAATAGGTATCTAAAATTGACGAACATTTTTTTGAGTTAGAAATTCATAAAAAACTTTCTATTTAAATCTAAGATTGAGTAATCGTGTAAGTAGTAGTGTCCCATAGTTATCCCGTACCCAGATTGTCAACAATAACTATCTTATAATAGTATAATGTTATAGGTATATCATCTTATTAATGTCTCGACTTTTGGAAACAGATAAAATTGGGTTATATGCTAGTTATAATGTTGTAATTAATACATTTTTGCAAAACTAGGTATCTAATAATTTTATAGATATTTACAAATTGTCATATAAAAATAATCTTCGATTATCCAATCGAGGTCGATTAAATCATGCAAATTGTGGTAGTTATAGGTAACAATGTACCTAACTATATTATTCTTATACGAAGTCGACAACTTAATTTGCTTTAACTTGATCTTTTTTACTCGATTTTAGTTTTTCAAAACTATTTTAAATAATATGATCAAGAAAAAGGCTATCTTGAAAATATTAAAATTTAACTGCATAAGAAAAGTTAAATCTTATGCCATTAATTTAGATTTTCTATACTTATAAATGTAAAAAAAACTGCATTTAAAATGTTAATATTGATTTGCCATTATAGAGATCTGAGATACTAAGACTTGAGGGTGATGCGGGACTTTTGGCTTTTAAGACACACGTTGTAGCTCGTAAGTAGATCTTGCCAGTAACTTTTTTGCCTGTTGGGTTAAAAAAAATAAAATGTATTATATACTATCCACTAGATGGAAAAGATTATTTTCCTACGCTTCAACAGACATTGAAAAGTTGAGTAACTTTAGAGGGATAAAAAATATAGGTACACCGTACAGGTTATTTTTTATAGACATTTAAAGTATAGGTTATTTAGACTTGTTTTAAACTATTTACACCATTAACCGATTAAGGGGATTGGAAGTGGCGATTTTCTGTCTTTGTCTAACTCACGTGCAACATAGGATTATAGATGTGTTCTATTTCCAACATACCGATTAATCTAGTGAAGCGATATGAATTCTGAAAACAGATTTGAATTTGTCGTAAAATCTTCTTGAGATCGACTTTCCTACATTTTTGATTTTTTGATTTAAACTTCTTCAAAAATTAAAATATGTCAATTTTTTAAT